GAATAATTAATTTAATTACTGTATTATGATTATTTTTCAAATGAAACCATTATTCTAAAACAATATTATATGGTTACATGAGTTGACAAAATTAATCTATATCAATTCTTATGACAAAGAAGAATGGATACTACAGTCGACCTCTTAATTAGTTACAAATACGATGATTAAATTTTTGAAAAGTTAGCGACCATACAAATACATGCATTGACTGTTCAGTACTAGACAATATTATATCTTATACAATTAGTCAATGAATTTATATTTACTTAAATCATTAACTTTAGTTCAGATCTATGTTTTTTCAATCATGCTCGAATTTACGTCAACCTTAACAGTGGACTATATAAAGAGGAGTGAACTTAGTATTTGATACAGCATGAATCAGTAAAAAAATCGTCGATCTTTAATAATTATTAAAACTTCTATTATTTAAAAATAATAAACGTTTCATGTACTCAAAATCAAAATAAATCTTAAATAATAACGGTTTGGTATGATAGTTGTTAAATAAATTATTATTAGATGCTTAAATAAATGAAATACTATTCATAATGAAACATTAATCGAATTCATTTAAAATAAATCAATTTTTCATTGAAATAATTTTTTAAATTATTTTGAAACAATGAATCATATCTGAAGATAAGTACTGAATTAAGAGATTTGGTATGATGATATATTTCAATCAAGCGATCAGTGAATTAAATTTATAATAATGACCTGTCGATTAATCTAATCAATCGATATCGATCCACAATGATTAAAAATGAAATTCGAAATAATAGAATTATTTCATGATTAACGATGATGAAAAATTTATATTCAATTAATGTTCGAATTCATCTTCTAAGATAATTTTTGATCAACATGAACTGATTCGATTTTCATAGAAAAATTCATTCGAAAAAATTTTCCGTTTCCAATCAAAAAAAAATTTTTGTTATTGATAAAACGAACAAAAGACAACAATAAAAAATTTTTTACTATAATGAGCATTTTTATTCAAATGATGAAGAATAACGACAAACACAGAGAATTTTTATTGGGTATTAGCAATCAAACGAATTTAATTTCACTCATTTGAAATTGAATATTGAAGTAAATTAAATGCTTCAGTTAAAATGTTCTTTTAACTTCATTTGTAGAATAAATTCTATGAATAATTATTGAAGATTAACCATATAAGTGTAATTGAATTGTATTATAAAGAAATCTACGTAGGATATCCTGGACCTGGTCTCAAGTATTCCGTAACTGGATTCGCTCACAGTTGGAACCGAAGACTAAACTCTGCGGACCAAGTTAGAACTTAACGAGCTCCATCGAATGCACTATTTACTTTTGCTCCAGTACCATTCCAAGTGGGAGCAAAACCTAGAATACTGTAAAAAAACAAGCCAAAAATCAGATTTTTGTTGTGCTACGCATCGCGATTCGCCCACAGCGAGGACCAAAACATGGAAATGACATACGTAGATAGAACTCGACGAGCTCTATCCAATGGTCACCTTTT